AGCCAGCAAACCCCTTTCCCTCCCATTCAGGAAAACCTGGATATAACAATTGCACTTCTATGGTAGCATTCAGCATAGCACCTGATGGGGAAGAAGATGACGTGCCAGATACATAAATAACTGTAATAAATAAAGCTTCATACAATATTGTTTACTAAAATTCACATAACTATGGACTAAAATTCATTTATTAAATCACAGCATTTCAAATTATTTGAAATCTGCATCTGAGGCGATTGTACTACTTTGTTCTTTTATTTAATTCTAATTGTTTGTTGTCTGTCAAAAAGCAGAATCATAAGAACCCTCCAGTGGTGGGTTTCAAATATTTTCCCTACCGGTTTGGTGGATGTGGTGTGGTGGGCGTGGCTTGGAGAATGTCATGTGACTGAGTGGGCATGGCCAACTCAACATCACTCACAGCAAGGTGGGGCGGCACCACCCCACCAAGCCACACCCACTTAAAATCACAGCCACTGAACCCACAGGAAAGTTCGGCCAAGTTTTCTAAAGTTCAACCTGGCCAAGGCGGGCAATGGCTCCGGGGCCTAGGGGAATGGCACGTCCCTGGGGCCCCGGCCCCTGACCCAAGGTGAAAGGCGAGGTGGCATGCTTACTTATCTTTGGTGAGCTGAGCAGAGCGGATGAGGCGCGGAGGCGATTGGCGAGACCCGTAGCTGTGCCATGTTGTGAATCAAAGACAACATATATAGGGCTGGGATGGGCGGGACGAGCATCGGGTGGGTGGGTGGGGTGAGCAAGCAAGCATTGAGTGGGTGGTCGGGGCAAGCAAGTGAGTGGCGACCAGTTTGGTGGCATGGCCAGCCAGCAGTCGCTTCAGGTTCGGTGACCCAGGCCAAATTTCTGCTACTGGTTTGCACGAACAGGCTGAATACCACCTCTGGAACTCTCCCATCTCAGTTACATTTTAATAGGGGTGGATGGAGAACAAAGTGTTGCCCATTAGTAATCCTATGTTTTTATCCAACTTCATTTATCTGTTTTACTAGGTTACTGCAAAATAAAACCCATTAATAACAGAAAGATGAAATACAGGTAGTCCTTGGCTTACAACCTCAACTGAGCCCAACATTTCTGTTGCTAAGTGAGACATTTGTTAAGTGAGTTTTCCTCATTTTACAATCTTTTTTTGCCATAGTTCATAGGTGAATCACTGCAGTTGTTAAGTTAGTTACATGTTTGTTAAGTGAATCTGGCTTCCCTATTGACTTTATTTGGCAGGTCACAAAAGGGGATCACATGACCCTGGGACACTGCAACAGTCATAAGTATGAGTCAGTTGCGAAGCATCGGAATTTTGATCACATGACCATGGGGATGCTGCAATTGTAAACATAAAAAATGGTTGTAAATCATTTTTCCCAATGACGTTGTAACTTTAAACAGTCACTAACTGAACTGTTGTAAGTCAAGGACTACTGGTACCCTATTTACCTGACAGAAAGGCAACCATGATTGTAACAGTATTCCTATGTTAGATGAATATGGAATATTAGAGTGCTGGGATAGGGTGAAGTGAATGACAGGATTTAACCAACGGCTGAAAGTTTGGAAGTTTAACTTTGATGCCAGGTTTTTAATGTTTATGGTTTTAATAGATTGTATTTATGTATTGATTTATTGATTATTTAATTTATTTATATAAAACCCCTTTTCTATCTACATTTCCATGTTTAAGGTAATAACAGACTTCCCTTTTAAAAGTGAATCATCTGATGAAATAAATCAGTTTTCCTTTTGGGTGCATATGCACCTGTGAATGGGCTGTACTAGGAGCTGTTCCTTTGAAAAGTATCCTATTCAGAGGTCTTTTCCAAAGTCAGTGAACAGCCTATGATAATGCAGATTAAAGCAATAGAATGCCAGAATCCTACCTCTCATGAAGGAAGCAGAATATACATATCCCATGTATGAGCAGTGGTGGAACAGTGGTTAGAATGCAGTATTGCAGGCAAATTCAGTTTACTGCCAGTGGTTCGATCCTGACCCACTCAAGGTTGACTCAACCGTCCATCCTATAGCAGTAGCAATAGCAGTTAGACTTATATACCGCTTCATAGGGCTTTCAGTCCTCTCTAAGCGGTTTATAGAGTCAGCA